ATACACAGGTCTTATACTCATAGTCAAAATTGGCCGGGAAATCTGAAACCCGGTTAAATTTATTTTGAAGATTGAATAAACTTAGTCTATGAGCTAGTTGACTTTAAAATACAATTTCAGCTCTCAAGATAATGTTTAATACGAGTATTTACCAATATTAAGGCCTGTAAAGGTATATTCCACAAGAACTTTGAACAGCCGCCATTTTGTAACGGAAGAACCTTTTGAGACGCGGTTTCCGGCAATGAACTCCACTTGACCAGACCTTTAAAATGATGTGCATATCAACCTATGCTTACATTAAAGATTATGTACCTACTCCTCATGGGTCGTCCCCTGGTAGAGGTAAAAACATGAAAATACTTGGAAAAAGTAGTTTATATGCATGTAAGTTGATGTGAAAGGTTTGACTTTTCTAACGGATTTAGTTAAAAAGATATTAAGCCGTTTCTAGACTTTTTTGTCACCCTGTATATTTCCTCCCTTGACAAATAGAGGTTGCAGTATAGATCTTTGGAAAAGTCAGTAGCTCAAGCTGGGATTTCAATATACATCCCTTCCCTGGTTACAGAAACAGCTGATCTTAAATGAAGCTAATACTCTTTCGTTTAGCTTTGCCTTGATTAGATAGTGATGTGACGGCGTGGCATGGACCTGATCTACTTTAAAAGTTTGTAAATTACTTAAAGGATGTGTTCAAACAAATCACATAAAATATATCCGTATGTAAATATCCATACGTTTAATAACAAAATAATAGTTTTTAATATACCATTTTGATGGTGGTTAATTTTCTTACTAGTCCAACTGAAAGTTCTCTGCCTTGTACAATTTTTGTTATTCAAGCCAAACTTAAATTAAAACTTATCGTACCTAAAGCTTATTTTACAAACATCACAGTGAATAAACTAAGGGATAAAATACAATTTTAGACACACGCTGTGAGCGGTTTTACATACGGCGGAGGTACATTCAGCCGTTTTATTTTTATTTCTAACAAATAAAGCTAACTGATGGGATGTCTACATCAGTATCCAACAGTCAGCGGCTGCATCCAAACCCGGTTTCCAAAGAGTTCGCATTCTAGCCCAGCTCGGATACAGCCTTGCTCTTCCATGGTACACCCGAGTATGTAGGTGTCTGATGAAGGGGGAGTGTTCCTCGGGGGCCAAGGTCGTGTCCTTGAGATACCATTATCACTATCTTGACCTTGAATGATGAATGTGTGACGGCATCTGCTCTCCATACTGCCTTCTCATCCCACTCTCCGGCTGTCTGGGGTCTCAACACTTCAGTTCTTACGCAACTTATGTTTATGTACGATTGAAGGATTTATTTTTCATCGGTACGATTCTAGTACACCTGTTTGATAAGTTTGAGAATAAACCTATTTATAAATTAGGCCAGTATTCAAGTTTATCATAATCAATGCTTATATGTTTATCATATTATGTGTTATGTTATGTGTTTATTATGTTATGTTTATCATAGCAACACGAAATAGATGCATACTGTTCTGTTAATACTGTTAATACTGTTAATGCATATTCCAGGCTGAAGTATCCCAGGACCTAGCTTTGCTCAGTTGCCATCGAAGGTTAAACAGTTCAAACAATATAATACCCCCACCGCAGCAAAAATTGTTTCTTGACCATACGTCAATAGTATAGGATGAAATAAATAAATTTGCCAAATTTTATCAATATATATCCATAAACAATTAACTACAACAATTTTAATTTTCTCCATAAAAATAACATGGGAATTTTAAATTACACTATTTTTTAATTTTCTCCGTGACCGTTAGGCATACAACAGCGCTTCAATATACCAAATTATTTCTTTTTTTAAGCTCTACAAAACGGTTTAGAAATAAATTGCAAAATATTTTGTTTTTAGGGTCAAAAATGGGGAAACCCCATTTTACCCCATAAACCCTCGTTCCCATGGTTATGCTGGATCGCGAACTCGTTCGTATAAACGTAGGTTTACACGCTTGTGCCAAATTTCATGAAAATCGGATCATTTTTGCTCGAGTTATCGCGCTAACGGACATATATATATATATATATATATATATATATATACAATATATATACAATATATATATATACAATATATATATATATACAGGTAATATCATAGATAAAACATTCTCCCTTATTGTTGGTTAGTCTATAGTAATATGCACGTTCCTTATTTGTACTCTTGGTAAAATAAAAAAATATATAACATTAGGCCTACCAACACAAACATATCTATGAATTTGAAGGCTGGCAAACCTTCTAGATTTTTATGATAATACCGTCAAGATATTTGCTGCCACCCACTCACACTAAATTAATACCTGTGTCTTTAGCTGTCTCACATTTCTAATTTAATCTAAATTTAATTAATTTACTAATTTCAATGGTCTCTCGGTGGTCTTGCCGATTAGCACTCAGATTTTGTTAATATAAAAAATAAGATAGTAATAAATAACCTGGGGTTAGTTTTAATTTGCTGATTGAAATTGTTTGAATTTGTATGTTCATTCTTAAGCAAAGAGTGATAAACGATATTTTTCCAGAACTTGGGCGATTGAACGTTGTTTGAGAATAATGACCAAGTAATATAATTAAGATTTGATCCAATTTTACAAACCCACAAACGAACAGACATAGCTAGTATTAGAGTACATAATATAAATCAAAGAGGAGGAGAATGGTGCAAGATGATCTGTGTAGTTTTATTGCTAACTACCATGAGCCATTTTCAAAATTAAATAAAACTCAAATTGTCAAGGGTAGCTGGGCCCAGTTTTGAACAGTTAAAAAGCTACTGACTCTCCTCGTGACCGAATCTTTAACATTCTGATTGCCAGGTGATCAATATACTCAGCCACACAGCCTAATATAACCAGCATTGAACTTAAAATTACAGGACAAGTATGTTTTATCATTTTGAAAAATCTGAAGCGTGTTTTAATTTGTGTTTCGTGTAGGTTGTTTGAGTGTGCTAATGTTGATTAGATGGATAATAGATCATTCTGGGGTAGAGTTTACGATTTATACCCATCGGTTACTAGTAACATACAGAGGTGATAGTGCCTGTTTTTGTCTGGGTTTCATAATAATTATGTTTGGGTGCACCCATATTAAAAAATTTCTTCTCATATTTTAAAGTAGATTTTAGGTAAAAATATTATTATAAACTCACCTCTCATGAAAAAGGTTTTTGAAATTAACGACGAATCTAACCAAACATCAATGTCCAATTACAAAACATTAGCAGTTTATCTTTGCATAATCAAAATATCTACAAGCTTAACATTGTAGCTTCTAATTGAATTACATTGTATACGGTAGTACTGTATATTATTTTCAATGGCAAGAGGCTATATCTCATTGCCTAGAGATTCATCAGCCTTCAGTAATCTTGGAAGCAGCAGTACTTTGCGATTCCCTCAGACACCTTCAGAGGCAAGATTGCGAAGGTGGTAGTTAAGTTACATTGTAGCTGCACGACCAATCAGCTATCAGCTCTCAGATATCCATCAGTCCAATAGCTGTGACGTCATAGCTATTAGTGTATTGCAGCTCGTGCAACTCTGTTATTCATGGAGAGCATTATATGAAGTTATATAAAATAAATAGTTTTTAGCTGAATACCTTAATTACTATATAAATACAAAGAAGTGCATCATTTACGTTTAAGCGAATTTCCCATTTAAGGTATAAGCTATGTACCCGTAGGTGGCCCGGTAAGACCTAAACCCGGGACCGATTTAATTTTTCGTTTTATTGTCCCCACAGGCCGAAAACACCATTTGTTTACACTTACATTACTTAGTATTGATATTAAGCTAGTCATACGTTGCACCAAGTGCATCACTTTTTGAGTAGGCCTGCAGTGATTAACTTATTTCCCATATAGGGAATAAGTTATTACCGTGGGTATCATGGTATGACCTAATAATGTATATAACTTTGTAGAAAAGTAACTTAGCTCATAGCTAAATAGTATGACCTGGACCAAAGTCCGATTGTCTTTTACATTTTGATGTCCTCGGCTAGAGACCGAAAACGGCATTCGTTCGTGCGTGTGTGTGTCCGTTAGCGCGGTAACTCTAGTACAAATTATCCAATTTTGATTAAATTTGGTACCAAAGTGTGAACCCACGTTTATTCAAACAAGTTCGTGATCCAGTATGATCGGACCACGGACAGGGGTCCTTCGGGGGTTTGATGGAGTAACAGATTTTTTTTTCAATTTTTGACCCTTAAAACAAGATTTTGCAATTTCTTTCCAGACCATTTTGTAGATTAAAAGAACCAAATAATTTAGTATATTAAAGGGTTGTGTGTGTATGTCAGGTTACTAAATAATAAAAAAAAAAAAAACACTTTAAATTTAAAGTTTCCATGATATTCTTATAGAGAATAAATAAACTGTTGTAGTTTGCTTGTTTATGGATATATTTTTATCGAATTTGGCAAAATTGTTTATTTTATAAATAACATTTCAATAAAAAAAACACACACACACACACCTTTTACCTTCCCTGTAATCAAAAACCTAAGAACTCATTAAAATTAATGTTATTTTCATGGGAAATGCATCTGACAATTTTAAGGGAATAATATAGTGGAAAATCAAGAATTTAAATGGAAAATCCCTTAGTCTGCAGGTTTGCTATGGCTGGGTATTTTTTAGATATTTTCTTGCCGAGGATGGAACTAGATCCCGAATCGTCGTGATAATATTTTTTATCTGGATAAGAAACTCCTGTTTTCATCATTCGCATTACCCAAACTTACCATGAGCAAAGATGGACTTCAAACAAAGATCAGACACATCAATTAAGAAATTTTACCCAAGCCTCCCTCAGCATCCTCTATCCTGTACCCTCGTGGTCGCAGACGCTGGTGACCTTGAAAACGAAGAAGCTCGGGTGAAAGTGGCCAAGGTCGGGAGGGGGGGCTTTGCCCCCTCCTATATATACTAAGCTCTACGTTCTCGGCGAATTTTATCAATTGCTGTGTACCCCTGTTAGTGTGTGTGTCGGTTTAATATCATTTAAATGTAAGTATCGTGTTTTATTTACAACATTAAAAATAATGTTTATAATAAGGTTTTCATGTAAACAAACTTAAAAATTAGGATTTTAAAAATGAATTTGTTTTGTTGTAGCTTTAAAAAAACGTATAAATACTGAGGAAAACCTATTTTCAAAATTGAAGTTTTATTTTACGAATGGAAACTATTTTAATCTAGTTTAGATTTATTTGCATTCAGTTACTATAAATATTTTTTTCCTAAGCATAAGAACTTCACTTTGTTTCCCCAATCATTGAGGTCACATTAAAAACCATTATATGGACTATACTGTTACTGATATTTTTGCAATACTTGCCAACAAATCCCTAACTAAAATCACATGTAGAAATCATAATTATAACTACCACGATATGTGAATTCTCAAAATAAACAAATAGTTACTTAACTTATTCAACTAAAGATTAACTTGAAATTAAATATGTACTTTTCGATAATAGTAGTACAGTAGTGTGTCTTCAGGAATACGTAAAGTCTTTAATTCACACCATTAAATTTAGATATTCTTAGTTAGTAGACTTTTCATCATATTTTGAAATGTAAAGCTTGATTTGGCTAGTTTGCATGTTCAGAAATAAATGTTCATAAAAGTAATAAACTTAGATCTAATACCAGTCACGTTGCGTTTTTCTTGTATAATTTTAAAGCTAGTGTGAGTTAAGTACCCGATGAAATAGAAAGAAGCCATCAATGAACTTAAAGGTTACTTGGGATGACAAATCTTCAAATTGTCTTCAGCTGATACATAAGTTATCTCCATAATTTCTTTTCTATTGGTTTGTACACTTTGCCTTGAAGTGTATTTGATTACCAAAATTTTAACAGATTTCGCTTTGTTTTACAAATTATAGAAAAATTAACATCGATATTTAGGAGATAGCATTCCGACTAAAATTGGGACGATTATGTAATCAAATACCAGACGCCGGCGCCAATCCCTCCTTTGATATTTAGGAGAATGTTGATTTGTCCGGTCGTTGTGGGATTTTAATATCCGCAAAAGTCACAAGAAAACACTTACTATGGCTTTAGATGTTGACCAAATAATTCAATTTTCACAATTCTTATATTAATTATTCAAACATAACCCTCCCAAAGTGGAAGACGATAAGTATAGTTTATTTCTAGAGTTTTGTTCTGATCTTTCTGGATTTAATTTTTTGTGATAGTTTTAATTTTATCTCACACCTACTCCTTTCCTCATATTGTTTTAACCCTTAAGCTTTTGTATCTGGTTTGATTTTGTTTTGCATGATTATCATCATCATCATAATTTCATTGAGATAGGACACTACGAGTTTGTGTGTAAAATTGAGAGAGATAGACTGTGTAGCTAAGATCAGGTCTTTAGTTTGATATGAAGAAAATAATTAGTTCGTTTTAACAACCAACTCTCGTAGTAATAATTTTCTTAAATATATTAAACTACCTAAATTATGCTTCTTTATGTTAGGAAAATCGTAATTACAGTAAATAATAACTGTATTGTATAATGCAAATATACAGTTTAATTCTTTATACTCAAAGCCCATAGCCGATAGAGACATCAACGAACGGTCAAACCGATATCGGCGCTAAATGTTAAAAAATCAAATAACTTTTTTTATTTAATATTAACGTAGTTTAAAGTTAATTCAACAATGAATAAGTATAATAACATTCAATACAGGACAACAACTTAGACCCATGAATACACGTAGCATAAGGTTAAGTTCAAGTGAAGTATATGTGTCTCGTATTTAAGTAACTGTGTTAAATTTAATTTCTTAAATGCTTAGTGTTTTATGAGTAGTCCTAAATACTACATATACTTTCTTTCAATGCATTTAAATATATGTCCATGTTTATGTTTTCATTTAAGCTTTGAATGTCAACTCGTAAAAAGGTATTTAAACTTCAGTATTACAGTTTATTTAAAAAATTATTTAAAAGATTAGCTACATAGGCCTAATTGTTTGTAGTTTAATTAAGAACAAAAGTAATGTTCATTGTATAGAACAGTTTATATTCTGAAAATTAATAAAATAGTAAATATTAAAAAAAAAATTAAATCAAAAATTCTACCTATTACAACTGGCAAAGAAATTCAAAATGAAAATGAATAACAAGTAATACTTGTAAATATAAAATGTTATATTACGTACACCTCATTTCTTTGGTAATATAAAAAAATAACATCAATAGTTTTAATAACAGTGATTTATTTTTTTACTATTACAATAGTAATGGTTAAGTATTTTTAATGTGATCAATTTACTGTTTTAAGGCCACCCAAGACAATGAGTTCCTAACCTTAATTAAACCCAATAACAAATCCAGTTGTTCTAGAATCAACTTCATTTAACAATTTTATAATACTCGTTCAGGAGTTACCATTTTTGTGCTAAGCAAATTATGTAGAATTGTATGAAGCTAGAGTGTTAAAACAAACTATGAAATTGATTTTAGTTTTGATTCAACACAAAAATCAGGTAAATTCCTGACAATTTTTATCGTAAAACTAAAAGTACCTTCAATGAAAACTATTTCAGTTTAGAATTATTTGGAAAATGTAGCCTAGTGTTCTTGGATACAAAGGGACGGAGAATTTTTAAATCCCTAGAATGTAATATGATAACTCAGGAGCTGTCTGATTTCGTAGCCAATATGCAAAAAATTAATTGGAAATTTATTTTTTATAACATCTTATAGTTAGTTATATTTCATAACTAGTCGGAATACTTGATGAACTGTATCAGCGATTCCCGCAATAAATTTGTTTATTTGAATCATCAATAAGAAAAACTAAGAACAAGCTTATTTTTTACTAAAGACAATTTATACTTGTATATCCTACTTTTAACAATGATCTCTATACTTAGTGGGTTACAAATTAAATAAAATGAGTAAAATAATACATTTGTGATAAAAGGTTTGTTTCTGTGGTATCTGCGGTGTGTAATACTAAACCAATTTTGAGCATCTTTGTACCATCAAATCGTTAAAATTATTTGTTGCCGATTGTAGAACAAACATTTCAGTTATTTACAAGTTTAAAATATGAAAACTGCAATTTTTCCACAAAAGTCGAGAGTGGCTTAATAACGTCGAACCATTAATTTTGCAATTGTAATAATCCTAAACATGTTTATGCTTTCGTTTTGATATCGAACGAAATGTTATAACCTTGATTAACTCTTAGCTTCATAGCTTAGTTCAAATTATGCTACACAAAACAACCCAAGGTACGAGTATTTACATATTTCTGTTCTTTATAATGCTTAACAGCACGGTTTAAAGTATTTTTTTTTAGAAATAAAATATACATTATTTTATTTAGATCTAAACAATGGTTCCTAAATTTAAATTAGCCTACAAACAAAACAAACACCCAACAATTAAATCAACTTTTTTCGGTTCTAACTTTTTATCAAATACAACTAATGAATCATTTCATGCTGGGTAACTCAGTGGAGATAGGGCTCGCTTGGTAGTTTGTAGGTCTTTTGGTTCGATCATGGTTCTTTTGGTTTTCGTCGATGGTTCGAAACTGGACCCGCTGTCCAATCAGAAACGCAGCTGTCTCATAAATTCAGCACTTATCGTTCTCAACTTCACCTTAATACACGCACCTTGGTGTGTTGGTGTCGTATCAATATAATATCTAACGTATATTAATATTCACCGCCTGCCAGTGTCTATGATTGCCCAAGTCACCAACTATCTGTCACGTGACAGACTTTGCCCATTTCTCCACAAGACGGATGACATCGTGATCGTCGCGTTATTCCCTTTGTCTCTTATCTAACTTGACCTTTATCATCTCCCCACTACCTCTAGCGGTCGTTAACTCCAAAGTTCAGAAGGTCGTTTCTCTTCTTCCGGTGTGTCGGGGTTCGTCAAGTGTCTATTCGATATTTTGTAACCAAATTTTCAAAATGGTAGATTTCGATTTTTTAAGATTTTCCAAATCCTTAAGTATTGTCTTCGACCATGAGTTGAAGATGATATTTTATTACCACAACATTTATCGTAACAAGTTTGAGAGCAGCAGATTCGAACAGTAAACAAGTGCGTAAATGGTTGTACAGACCATTCATTGTAGCCACACCCCATTGTGTGTTCATTGTTGTGTTTCATTGTGTGTTCATTGGAGCCACTTATCTGTGTATTTTGAGGTGGACGATTTAGGGTAGAACGGGTAGATTGTTGAAGATAGTAGATAGTGTATGGGATGGTATATGGTAGAATATAGGAGGCGGATAGTGGAACGAAGAAGGTAGAATGTAGAGGATATAAGGAAGGGTTGCATGTTAAGGTAAAAGGTGGAAAATATAAGGGCGAGGGTGTAAAGTAGATGGTAGAGGATAGAAGGTGGAAGGAGGAAAGTATGGCAGGCGCAAGTGTGAGGAGGATTGACCTATGATGTAACGGCCACGGTAGCGCCGGTTCCCATGGTTGCGTGGTAATACCACAGCAACGGATAATTAAGTCAACTCCTTATCAATGGCTCAATCGCCATTGTAGAGGACGCATATTAGAAAAAGTCGTGGCTACAACAGCCTTCATTTGTCTACGATTATTTATTATTTAATTCTACTGGAGGGTACCAAAGGGAATGTTGAAATATTCGTGCGGTGCTGTGGGTGTTGTGTGGAATTTTGTGATAAGACTGTGATAGACTGTTAAAAAGCTATTTTCTTGTTAATGTGGAGAATCTCTTTATAAATTAAAATAAACTCAAATTAAGCACAAAACAATGAATTTAAAATTATTAGGAATTAACATGGGCCTTAAGGGTTGCCATGCCGGTGACGAAATAACAAAGAAATATGATCAGAAAAAAATAAATGGAATTAATTCCAATCAAATGTTTTATTCACAGCGTGGGGTGAAAATGGAGAAGTATGTACATTACATAATTTTGGTTGAGTTTTTGATCATTGGACGACCTCTAGTTAAATATAAAAATGTTGGAACTTGTTGCCATGTTCATGTTATAAAAAAGTTTTGGCCTTAAAAAAATAACCCCCTACTTTTGCAATTAGTAAAATATTAGTAAAATAAGTAGTTTTGCAATTAGTTGCTGTACTGGGATTAGTAATTTCAAAAGTGTTGGTAGATAAGATGGAATTATATGTGTAAAACAGCGCATTACACAAATAATCACAGCCTGCTCATACGCACAAGCCGATGAAAGCAAAAGTTATCGTTATTGGCAAATAGCCACCAACAACGAATTATATTACCTCGAGTTTCACCAACAATTGTTCGCCAACCGGAGAAAGCAATGAGCAACTTGTACGAAACGCCACCGTTTGACCTTCGTTCGACTGTTAACGAAGAAAGCGGACGTTTGTTGGATTTTAAGTGATTGTTTTGTAAAGTGTTTGGTGTTTTGAATCGTGTGCTAAGTGATTCACTAGGAATTTTATATTTTTTTTATACGCAGTCTAAACAGCGGCGTGTGGATTCCACGAATACTAGAAAAATACCGGTATGGATTATAAACATAAACAAATGACGTTGTTGGCCCGAATTCTATACTAATAGCATTGAACATATGTTTTGGCAGTTCCATTTAAGCAATGTTAAATAATGTTTATTTTCGGGCCAAAAACGTCATTTGTTTATGTTTATGATCCATACCGGTATTTTTCTAGTAATCGTGTGTGGATTCTAAGGTGAAGATGAGCGGAGGATGTGTATTGCATTGATGAGATGACCTTCACTGTTATCACTGACGGGATAAGAGATACGCCCAAACCAAAGTCACGTAAAGTCTCCAGTAGGTCTGTGAGCGAAGAACAATGGCTACTAATTAAGGCCAAGGCTCTTACCCGCTACTTAACGTAATACTGTGTGAATATTATCTCAAACTTGGCCAGACTTTTGGTTAAGTGGCAGCATTGACTGTAGATAAAACGTAGGCCACTTCCTTAGAGATTTGTCCTCTTTGAGACTCAGCTGGAGACTGTTTTAAGATTCATTTATAATATTTAACCCTTCAGTGAACAGATGTATTCTATTACTTTATTGATAGTTTCCTATCTTTAACATTATTACAGCCAGATAAGAGTGATTTTAAATTAAAATATGGATTGTTTTATATTATTACTAAACAGTTAAACACACATTTTAAAGTTTACCGGATAATTGAACAGAAATATCTAGTCACCATCATCACTCAAATATGTAACCAATATAGAACATAAAAGAGAATTCAGGCTTATAAATAAGATAAAAGTATACTTGCGGAATCCATAATCAATTTTTAGATTAAACACATGCGACTTCTTAAGTAACTAGACAAACCTTTTCATAGAGTAAAACACATCCAAAATATTCCTTAGAGATCTATGGTGCTTTCTGTTCAAACGATACGTAAAAATAAGCATGTTTTGTCCTAGTATTATCTGCATTGTCTTTGTTAGGAAATGCAACAGTATTAAAGTTAATATGCTAATACAAAACGGGATTTCTCTGTAACAACCTTTTTTTTACCAAACCGAATTTAACGATCGAGGTGTCATTTTTCAGCTTATAATTCAGTGAGGAGACGAACGGTAACGAAAAAGGTAATTTCCTTTAGGGCTTCGCCTCGTGTTTTATTTATTTCTAGAGTTAACTTTCATAAAGATGTACAACCAAAACATTTAATTTATTTTAAATCTTTTATCGTCTTTATTTCTCTCTTAAAAACATATAATTATCTTTGAAAGGTGATTAGCTTTATTCGTTATTATTTATTATTTCGATATTGTTCGTTATATTATTTAGCCTTATTTATCTTGAAAGGTAATAATTATTGTTTTTTTTTCGTTTTGCCTCGGAAAAGAGTTATAATAAAATAAGGGATATGTGCGCGGGTCCCTCGTTTCTGATAAATCTATGAGAGAGTATTTTTAGTCAGTTTCAGCGTTAAATAATTATGATTAAATTAAAACAAAAAAATCAGCCGACAAATGAACCAACTGACGCTAACAGTAGCCTACATCAGCGGGAGAAATTACAAGAATATTCTTGTGTTGCACAACTCAGTATTTGCCCGCCTTGCTATAACCACTTATCCATTGTCCACTTTATGTAATGATCGTACACCTGTCGTATCACTTACTAGCGGTTACATGGTTCAACGAAACCGTCAAGTCATTGTCACTCCTAATGTGCTGTACACAGCAATACAGTACTATGTCCATTATCCTTGGTTCCAAGCCAAGAATTCCACTAACTTCCTCACATTCGAGTTTTCAATCTTGTTGTCAGTTTGGAGTTGATGTATTATGTGTTTTGTAGTTTCTTTACGTCGTGAGTAGAAGAGGACGTAGGAGAGAGTCAAATGGTATAACGTTTGCAAACATTAAAGTAGAATCGTTAAAGGCGAAAAATGTATATATTTTCTTTTCGGATGGTTTTCGGTCAGTTTTATTCTTATACTTGATGTCACCATTTTAATTATTTTTTTCTGAGCTTTATTCCAGTATCCAATTAAAGGATGTCTGTTTTCAAAATGTTATTGTATTTTTTATTTGTTTGGTATAATTGGTTTGTCTCAATTTTCTTGGTTTTAATAATAATTTTATACCAAAAATAACTTACATTCAAGAATAATAATTCTTGAATGTAAGTTATTTTTGGTCTTTAGATGGAGGTTTAAATGGTATGAAACCTAATTGGTAAAAATGTGAATTGTCCTTATTTTAAGCGATAAGTTTTGTCCTGGAAATTTACCAGGATAGGTCTAAAATGGCTTTAAAAAATGATGTCTTAATAATTTCATTTAACTGTTGCATAGCATGTAATTCATATCTTTGCTGCTCATTACATCGTATTCATTAGTCTAGGTATTTCAGGTTGCCCTTCAATTTGTATTTCCTTTGGTGATTTTTCAAGAGAACATCATATCCCTTATCAAAAATTGTAAAAGAGTTAAATGCTAGGGATTATCCTCTCCTATGAGGTTATGGTCCATTTCATTAAAACCATTTCTAAAAGTTGAATGAATGAAACGCTATAAGCTGTCTAAGATTTTTACTTTCTCCCCCTATACCATAGTATATGGAGAAAGTATTGTTTTCGTCAAAATTTTCGAGTTTGAGTTTTGAGTGGATATATTCGTTTTGGGTCCCCCTGGACCCAAAAAAGTGGTTTTCGAAGTGATGTCTGTGTGTGTGTGTGTGTGTGTGTGTGTGTGTGTGTGTCTGTGTGTCTGGATGTGTACAGAGCTAGAGACCACACCTGTGGTCCGATTTCGATGAAATTTGGTATGTAGGTTCTAATCCATGGTATCTCCAGGCGTTTTTTTCATTTTTTTGAAATTTTTATTTTTAATGAGGATTTTCCCATAAAAACCCATAAAAAACAGGAAAAATCGGATTTCCTCGAAATTGGCCCGAACGATTTTGATAAAAATTTAGTATGTTGTAGCCCTTTAAATTCTGAATAAAATGGTACAAATCCCATATCTGTAAAAATTACGGTTCAAAAGTTATGGGCAAATATGTTATTTTCCCATAAAAACCCCATAAAATAAAAAAAATAGGATTTTAGAGAAAAATCCGGTTTTGATTTAACATAGTATGCTATAGTCCTTACAGTTTTGATAGTTTTTTTTTAATTTTGTAGAATTTTTTTTAATGGGGATTTTTCCTTAAACCCCATAAAATAACAAAAAAATATGATTTTCCCAAAAAATGGCCCGAACGATTTTGATAAAAATTTAGTATGTTATAGTCCTTTATATTCTGAACAAAATGGTACAAATCCCATTTCTGTAAAACTTACGGTTCAAAAGTTATTGTAAATTATGTAATTTTACCATAAAACCCCCATAAAATAACAGAAAAATCGGATTTTCCCAAAAATGGCCCGAACGATTTTGATAACGATTTAGCATGTTATAATCCTTTAAATTCTGAGCAAAATTGTACAAATCCCATTTGCGTACACAGTTATTTACTCTCACTACTTACACATGATAAAGGTTTTTGACAAACTTATGGGAGAAAGTATGTGTCAGAATGCTGATACCGTTTATTTGAGCACGTTTTACTTGAGGTTTAATCTGATATTGAGGATCTTCTGGAACACTGAGCTAATGTAATTGTCTGTTTCGCAGATGCTGGGAAGTGCCTTATTATCCCTGGTGGGAGTCATCGCCATAGTATCAGCTGCCATCAACGAAATCAGACCAAGACAGACAAAACCCGGCAGATTCCTGTCGCTGCCTGTACCACAGAAATGTAGCCAGAGTAAGTAAAAATCACAATAATACCATGTTAAACTATTTTACCTAATTAATCATTACGCAAAATTTAATAATTTATAATGCTGAAACTGGAGAAAAACTATATAAAGTGGTCTATAAAATAACGGATAGTTTTGAAACGGAAATTAAATAAAAGAAACGTCTTATAAAACTTAAAACATATATTTACGCTTATACTGTTACTCACGAGACGGTAAATATACCAAACATACATTTTTAAACATATGTTAATCAGCTGTTGTTACTACTGAATTTGTATTGTTGTATTAAACAACAACAAATGTCATGCCATTTGAGTAATCATGGATCGTTGGACAGTACAACACCGTGACTTTTGCATTGAAGCCTATTTTAATTGTAAGTGACATTATAAGATGCTTCAGAAGGTAAAAGAGCCTTCAATCAGCTGAGTCTTTGACAAAACACCAGACGTACCGGTAATCTAGGAAAACCTTGATTGATCTTATGTGCAAAATTCAAATCTTAAAGTAAAATACGATGTAAACTGGTCCTAGAGACACATAAAGTAACATAATTCTTTTCTTACCTATCTTTTTGGACTTCGGAGAACAGATTCCCGAACTCTTGCATGTCCTCATCGCTGTCTTCAGTCAATCGATAATAATGAAAAATCCATTAGTGTTTATTCAATCCATGGCAAACCTTACGTCGAACACGCTTTTTATTTTAAAAGTTTATTATTTCCCACAACCTTTTACACATATTACCGCATTTCACATAAAGTACCTCGCGCCACGCATCCGCAACATATGATGGTCTCGGCCTTGGCCCGTCCCATGCAGCAGTTTAATCACCACTGCAGCCTCACAGCAAGGACGAAGGACTTATTCCTGGAGGATGGCTCACTGGCTCAGTCGTGATGGCAGCGTCGTCGACAGTTAATGTGGTCATGGACCTTGAGACTCTGTTTTAATTAGAATCTTCTTCCTCGTTGTATTTAACGTTCCTTCGTAAACGGCGTCCTTCGAGCGTGTTTATGGAGCCGCCGATTGAATTGAATTTTGCTTGTATTGTGTTTGCAAGTACAGGTTTTGACTTTGTGTACTGAAGTTGATATTCCATATAAACAGACTAGTTGTAGCCAATTCTTAGCTCAAAGAGAACATAGAGTTGTGCTTCAGACTATGGAGATAAGTATATCCAGTTTAACATAAAACCAGTTACAACGTACATTTTCAAGAGGTGGGATTTTCCAATTTTTGTAGGGAGGGCTGAAGATGGGGTTTACCGATGATTTTTGCCCAAGTCCAACTTACGTAATGTTTACCAAGTCCCTACAGTAGTTTGATTGAGACCAAGATTATGTTTATCCTCTATAAGAATAATATGTGGGCATTTTCTTTCTAAAAAGGGGGGTTAAGTAAGGAAATTCAAGATTTTAAAAAGATTAAAACACCCTTACCAATTTCAAAATTTTAGCTCTATACAATTGGGTTAGTCCGGTTACCCTCCAAACCCATAGACACGACTTTTAAAAGGAGGTTTTTGAGGGGGTTTAAATGAAAACAGGTCAAAAACGTAATGGGACAAAATGTTCAATATTTAAAGGTTCTAAACATAAGTAGGTTTTGAAAAAAAAACTTAATTATTTAACCTACTTTTAATTTGAAGGGAATTTGAAAAAATAGGATTATTCATTTTAACTTGATCTCCCCCCCCCCATTTTAGAGTAATATGTGGTGTATTTAAATTCCGAGGTAAATTAAAATAAAGATCAGACATATATTAAGTAAGATATGAAGATAAACATGCCCAAATCCTTTGTTAACGTACTCCGGCGCAGCAAAAACCACTTTTTCAAGTGCTTAAACACAACAAGTGTTGTCAGGTTCTGAGGCCTTACATCATCCTCGACCTCGGAAAGATTACCCCTCATTTCTAAACGCCTATTAGCCCCAAAATTTTGTAAACCACCACTCGGGAGCGCGGCGCCTCGGAAAGGCCGTCACCTTCAGAGTAGCGTTGTGCAAGCCGAGTACCTCCTCCGCAGTAGAAACTACGCTTCGGGTGCAGTGGAACTATTTACGAAATAATAATTATGAGTAACAGAAGGGATAAAATCTGTGTAATTTGGTAAAAAGTTATGAATATCTTCCACAACTATGTTTCAATGCGCCTTTAAAGTGTAATGCAAGGTTTTTAACCTACCATAAACTGTTTCCATAAACTAAAAACTCCTTTATCTCTACTGTCGGACTTTTAACCTAAGGAGTTTTTTAAGGAGGGGGAAATGTAGAATTCACCTATAAATTAAGAGGATATCATTTAGACAACATCAGTTTACTCTTAGATACCAAAGCACTGGGTGAAACCATTAATCCCAAAAGAGGGAGTAAAATCAAAGAAACTATATGATCTTTGCGTAAAAACTGGCTGCTTACAAGGGGCTTAAAATATTTTCTAACATACTGTACACAGAATTAGACATCCTGTCTAAATGGGCTAATATTTGTAATTAAAATAAGGATCGTCGGAATTTTAAACCCCGGAGTAAAACTGGCGTCACTGTAGCGTAGTAGGAACCTGAGGGATCTCAAGTTTGTACGCGGGCTGAATGTAACCTCTGGTAGGGTAGCTGACTAGCTGAGGTGTTCACCTAACAATGAAATGGTTGCCATCCTGAGAAAATTCAGAAGCTTTTTGATATTTCAAAACTGGACCATAGACAAAAAGAATTGGACCCAGCTGTTCCTGACCATTGGGCCTTAAATCAATGATCCTGGCTAATGGAACAGCTTGTCTTAGCCAGTAACAAAGCTGTGATCATCTCACTCCATTCTACCATAGACTAACTAACACAAGTAGACTTCTCATTAAATTTTGAAGCTCGTTTTTCGTGTCTAGTTCATTGCCGGCGACACTGCTGTCTAGTGTCGACGAAATTGTGTTGCTATTAGTTTAGAGTTAATTCCATGGGTTGTGCTTTACTGTATGGTTGTATAGCTAGAGGATGAGTTATTGTTTATGATTATATCGTTTTATTTGGCTAAACGTGGTTTTAAATTACTTAAATAATGAGAAACAAATTGTAAACAAAACACGACATCTATAATGTGCACCATACAGAACTAACGATTAAATTGGCTTTAGCTGTTCCATAAGGATGGGAAATCTACCAAGGGTTGTATGTTTTATCTATGATTCTACACTCATCCTTAACTCTATTTGGATTAAAATACGAACATAGGTGGCGTCCCCATCTCAATGATTGATTTAAACTTATAGTTACCATCCATAACATTCAGTTTTTTTGTGTGTGCGCCTCTTATATTTCGTACTAGGAAACGCAATAGTGTTTAACCATTTATCTGAATTAAAATAAAGAAATGTTTATCAAAATAAATTAAGTATAGTTAGATATTTTTTCTAAAACCAATGGTAGGTGTGTAACTATTTTATGCAGCATAATTAAAGAACAGCATTTGTCTCAACCGCGGCCTTTCCTTGTGAAGCAGTGATACAGAAAATTTCGTTTGAGGCGTGCGATATTCAAAATACTATACTGTACATAATAATTCTTTCGGTGAACAAATAAAAACATAGCCTACCTAAAATAGTATTCAACTAATTATATTGTCATTGGTGTTTGAATAGTCAACGACAATGCAGTAAGAACAAAATGTTGCACTCTTTAAAAAATTTTAATCTTTTACTCACCATTTAAAATGTTTACCCTGAAACAGTTATTTCATTACTGACATGTTACCAAACTCACAAGAAACCGTTTCCATGACGCACAAGTCTCGGAAGCAGACCTGTTCCCGCCACTTTCTATAACCGGTTTCCCGGCATTTTTACAGTGGATTATGGCAAAAACAATGTTTAATGAATTGCAACCTATAAGATTACACGTTTCTTTAATGAATGTTTCCTAAATTTTAATTTAGACTGTGGGTATTTTGAAATAAATTTATTTATTTTGAAATGTGTGAACATTTTTTCTAATGGGTAGGACTTTTAAATTGCTATACTGCTAGTATGTTGTGGGTGCTTTTTTGTGTTGAGTGTCTTCAAGACCTTTTTCTTTAAAAGAAAGCTTTGTCAGAACCAGCATGATCGGACAATGGTAACAGTGGATTATGGGGTATAAATTAGTTTTCCATTTTGGCCTTAAAAACAAAATTTCACAATTCCTTTCCTAACCATTTTGTAGAGCTTAAAAAAGACTTAAGTTTGTATATTGAAGAGTTGTTTTATGCCTAATGGTTACGGAGATAATTTAAAAAAAAAATTGTAAATTTAAAATTCCCATTTTGAAGCGTTGTTTTATACCTTAACGGTTACAGAGATAATTAAAAAATTTGTAAATTTAAAATTACCATATAATTTGTATAGTTAATAAATAAACTGTTGATGAGGGAAGTGAGTATGCAAAACTGCAGTGGTCTGGGCATTGTAAAGTTGGGCAGTATTGAGAAGATGTCAATGCCAGCATTGAAAACACAACTTTGTATGGTTTTTGGCGGAAGAAATTTCTGCAAAAAAGGTATTTCGTGTCTGAGTCCGGTATTCTGTCTTTTTCGTTTTATAAAACAGGTGGATTCAAAGTTTAAGGTAGGGTCTGGGTCTCCGTTATCACATTGTCAAAACTGTTGGTGATTGGAAGAAATTGATCCCGGGTCCTTAGTACAGAAGTACCACGCTCAAACCACTAGCCACGCCTGACCAGACTTAAACAGAAACACTACCTGATAGACATTGGTAAGAATTGCCAAATTTCTCTTTAGGTGTTAATTATGCCACAATTAACTTTCGGAAATATTCGTGAAGACTGCGCTTACAGTAGTTGCTTATTACACTTCCTACGAATTACAAATTACAAAGTAATTCTTCAGTCGTGGTTTGGAGAAAGCTTGAAGCAAATTATAGAAATATTATTTAATGAATCTTGGTTTATTCAATCATTTTCATTACCAAAATATCCCACCAATTCTTCAATATGGCTTTATTTCTGGTATAGTA